TTGTCTCGTCAGTGCCAAGCTGCCCTTCCTTGGTGGCCAGCAAGGCTCCCGCAGTTAGGGGATCCTTCCTTTCTGATCTCAGTCTTTCTCCTCATCTCTCCCTCCCTGCCTCCCTGATCTTCCCACCTCAAGGCCTCGCACTTACTGCTTCCTTGGCCCTCCCTTTACTCACGTCTCTGCATCAACGGCCCCACCTCAGAAAGTCCTCTCCCCCAACATGCTTTCGTAAAACGGCACGGCACACGCATTAGCCTCTCCCCCACCTTACTGACCGTCTTCAAAGCATGTTCAGTGTCTTTCACTACGTCTGCAACTGTTTGTTCATTTGAGTGTGGAACGTCTCTCCCATCAGAATCTATGTGCCTCGGGCGCAAGAGTTTCACTGCAAAGCCGCTGAGCCTAGGTCATGTCAACGTACGGTCCGTGCTTCGTGAATATTTGTGCGCGGACTCCATGAACACAGAGGGTGGGTGGGCGATGGCACGGTAGCTGGGTCCCTCGAATAGGCCGAAGTGAGTATTTATGGGGATGACACAATAGTGTAGCGAAGAGATGAAATGTTTCAAAAGCAACTGCTGATAAAATTACCAACTTCCGGAAACTTCCAGCACATCATGGATGTAAGTCTGGAGTTTGGAGAAGGGGCACCCTGCAAGCACTGGGCACCCGGGGGTTCTGGAGGCCGGGCCCTAGCAGGACTTCTGTTCCATCCTCTGCAGAGGCAGCTGTAAACATGTCTACGACCCAACCTCTAAAGCTCTCATTATTTTTCATTGCTTTACAGGCTGGCGTTTTCTGGCTACTCACGTAGACATGCTTTTTTCCTTTTCCTTCCCACTGCAGATGATCTAAAATGAATTTCTACGGCTCATTTCTCAACTCGTCTTTGCAAATGTTTTCTCATTGAGTCCATCCCTCCTTGTCTCTTCTGGTGTCCCCTCACACTCTTGTCAGGACAGCAAGCTGCATTGTACAACGAAAGTTTGATTCTGTCCCCCGCCATTTAAAATGCTACACCGAATTAAAGGAAAGTATGATGGATTAAGGTTAATGGAGGAGACAGTCAGGACATGTGCCTTACAAGAATTCTCTTCTGGAACCCAGAGTCATTCACGAACTTCCTGCTACAGCATATTTACCAGCAGATCCCAGTTCTGCTCTTATTGGGATTACGGGAGCCCCGGTGGTGGGAGTGGGGCAGGGATTGGGGCATTTGGGGTACAACAGGATGTGCTTTAGTCTGGTCACGTTGTGCGCCCCTTGGGGGTGGTGGCACCAAGGACAGCTCCACAGATGGCACGATCAGAGGATATTCCTTCTCCCTTCTACTGGCGCCTACAGGGGACAAATACAGGAAACCTGTGGCTTTGACTTTCCTATGCTCCGTGACGGAGTCAAAACCTCCACGCCATTGACCAGCTTTATGCATTTCTTCTCAAACGGCGCTTCACTGGGTAATTTTAGCGATGAATATTCACAAAAAACCCTGCAGTATCATAGAAGGAAATGACTAGAAGCAGGATTAAGTAGAGTACACGTGGATAATTCATAAACGAGAGCACTTGAAGGTGATGGTTTAAAAATATGTCAAACAGAACCCCAAAAAAAAGAAACCGCATAGTTCGGCATCTACGTAAAAGGGGGGTCTGACGCGTTTCTGAATGGCCATCTGGAAAAGAACAGAGGACACGACGATCGAGCTGGGTCTCCATTTCTCTCCAGGCTACGTGGTCCTCACTGCGGGAAAGTCAGTGCAGAGCTGGTAGGGGAGCTCCCCACCGGGGTGGATCCACTTGTCCTTCAGCAGCCCCTCTGGTGCTTTCCAAGAGCTTCTGGGCCACCCGTCAAGTGACGATCACTGAGGTCAGCAGGACAATGCACACGGGTCGTCAGAAAGAAAACTGTTCTGCTTACTCCTTCCTTTCTCAGAGGAATGGTCGAGCCACACTGGGCTCAAAACTATTTCACAAAACATTGTCACGCTCGCTCTGGAGCCGAGTGACGAATACATGTTATACATTATTTCTGCACAAAGTCTTGTCTCAGGGGAGCCGATAAATATGCCGATGGAGTTTTGACACAAACACGGTTACTGTTTTTTGTGCTTGAGAGACACTGTTGTGTCTTTCCAAAATATGTCCAACTCTATCTAGGAGACAGAAGTTCTCTTACTCAACAAAGGAGTAATAATTTGTAAGATTTATTTCAGGGGGATGGGAGTTAAAAACAGTCAGCATATTACTCGCGTACTGATTTCATTTGCAGTTTGGAAAAGGAAAATCTCAGGTCACTGGTTATCAACCCTCAGGGTGCTGGAGAGCTGTCATATCCTCAGCTATCCCAGAGGAGGCAGACACGTTCTCTGAGATGTCTCACAACGACAATTATAGACCGTCTAAGAGCGTTGTGTATTGTGACTTGTATATTTAAGCCTCTAAGTATCTCTGGGAGGTAAGAACTCTCCCTATTCTGATATATAAAGGAAGAAATCGAGACTGAGATTAAGGAACCGACCAACATCGTACAGCTAAAAATAACAGATCTGGGGCTTTAAGCCCGTCAGACCTCAAAGCACAAGCTGTTTTGCTTCCAGTGAAGGGTCTATAATGCGCACACCCCTAGGCTAGCAGCGGGCGCCCGGGGGACATCTGGCTGGTCGTGCTCAGGTCCAGATGTCTTCAGGCCACAGCTTCATTGCCGTGGGCTCCGTGTCCGAGCTGGCCAGACCGCTCGGCCCGCAGAGATCGTCACACCACCTTGATCTCCTGGTTTATTGTCATTTTTGAAGATGACAGATTTATTGAGATGTAATTCACACACCATACAATTTATCCACTTAAGACGTACAATCCAATGGCTTGTAGTATATTCGCAGAGCTGTGCAACCCTCACCGTCATCACTTGGGCAACATTTCCATCGCCCCACAAAGAAAGCCCCCACCCCTTAGCCATCACCTTCCAGTGCCCCTCCACGATGCCTGGCAGGTGCACATCAGCCTTCTGCCTCTGGATTTTCTTATTTGAACATTTCACATAAACAGAATCCTAGAATATGTGGCCTCTTGTATCTGGTCTCTCAGTGCACCGTTTCCAAGCTCCATCTGTGCTGTTGCACGCGGTGGCTCTTTTTTTTTTTTTTTTTTTTTTTTTTTTTATTGCCCAATAATATTCCATTGTATGGATTTACCACAATAAACAAACTCCATTCGTCATTTTACGAGCACATTTGCACTTTCTGGCTATTCTGAATAACGCTGCCATGAAGGTTTTTGGGCACGTTTTGTGCACATTTTTGTGTGGACGTGTCTTCCTGGCTCGCAGGCAGACATTGGAAAGTGGTGGGACGGTTACATGGAAACTCTGGTTTTAGCCTCTCGAGGACCCGCCAGACCGCTTTTCCTCATTGCTCATTGCAATTAAGTAGTTCTCCTCAGCTAGCTGCTTCTGCAAAAGTGACTTTCTTCTGGAAAGCACGCATACTCGAATGTGCCTTCAACCGTCAAAGATTCGACATCTGGTTGGCCATCAATAGCCACTTTCAGTAACAGAAGCCAAGGGGAGGGTTGAGTCAACCCTCCAGTGAGGGCCCTGCCCTTCTTTTTTTCCTTAAGTTTATTTATTTTGAGAGAGTGAGTGAGAACAAGGTGGGGAGGGGCAGAGAGAGAGAGAGAGAGAGAGAGAGAGAGAGAATCCCAAGAAGGCTCCACACTGTCAGCGCAGAGCCCGACTTGGGGCTCGAACTCATGAACTGTGAGATCATGACCTGAGACGAAACCGAGAGTCAGATGCTCAACCTACTGAGCCACCCAGGCACCCAGCCCTGTCCCTTCTCAACACTAGGAAGGAATTCAGTAAAGGACACAACAGTAACGGCTGACAGGGTGACACTGTGGCCATCCCGGGCAGCCTGGGAAGTCTACTAAATGTATTTATCATCTAACGTTAGGATCACTTCATCTTTCGACTCCTTACATTCTAGAGGGTCAGATTAAAAAAAAAAATCACAAGAATGACAAACCACTGTGGTGTTTTCTGTACTGATGAGCAGGTAAGAAAGAGAAAAGGTTTAATTTGAAGTAAGAAAAACTAAACAGACCAACTCCCCTACATGGAAAACTACTCTGAAGAGACTCACATGCGTGGTTAGAGACAGTGTCACTGTAGGTGTTTTATTGTCAGGAGGCAGGAAATGGACTGAATATCTGCCATTTCTCCTGTGTCTGCATATGAACTATCTCCAGTTTTGAGTTTTCTCTAGGTTCGTGGAGTCTGTTACCAAAGAATGTGTCATAGAAGCTAGTAGATACTGACTGAGGAGAGAAATGAGCGACGGTTCTCATACAGCATTTTTATTGGCTGTTGTTAAAAGTTTTCCTGTTGCAAAGTTTCCCTCTCTTGCCTAGTCCGAAATTTCATTTGAGTGGGCTTGCCCACTGCGACCTGCTTCAAAGATAGTGAGCACAGTTAAACAAACAAACGAGAAATAAAACTTATATGGTATTTTGTTTGTGAGATGTTCAAAGCACAGAGGGACAAATTTATACTCGTCACAACACATGTAAAGGCAGCAAAAGCCACTACTGTGAAGAGTAGTTAAAATTTGCACGGCAATGACATGTCCTTTTAAAAGAATTATAATACATGTCAGGGAATCCACAAATAGACTTCTTCTCGGAAATAAAAACCCAAATTTCTCAATTTGCTTCAGTATGTTGGGTAAGAAACAACAACAGTGGGTGTCTCACAGAGGAGAGCATTGTGTTGATTCCGATTTTATGTGAAGTTGACCATCTATAGAAATCTCCCATTTTGATTAAAATTATGAATTCACAACCGTGAAGAAATGTAGAAGCGTAATTATTTTTGATGAACTGGAAATTGCCCTTAGGATTGAAGGCCACGGGAAGAACCCCCATCCTACATTCTGCCTTGGTCCTTATGTCCAGGGACCAGCTGCTTGCGCTCGCGTTCGTTCCCTAGAAAACACGAGACCTTCCTGTCTAGCAGCCAATCCAGGAGCTAGATTTCAGCACACTGACCACATCTTCCTTCTCTGTGTCATACTTGTACGCTTTGGGTCCTGAAAAGAAGTAAATGTAGCCTAGAAAAGACAAAGTTGAAAATGTGGTTACTGAAGATGACCTAGAAATCCATAAATGGAGGATTTGGAGGTCGTCCTGGAGGCGAACTGGGGATTTGTCAGCTGGAGCACAGGACCTCTGACTTGTCGCTCATCCCTCACCTTCCGCTGGGGTATACCCTCCAGGAAATCCCCTCCCCCGTCTCTCCCTAGCGAACCACTGGCCATTCTGTAAACCTCAGCTGAAGTCCCACCCTGAAGTCTCCAACTGGGAATGTTGGTTCTCATCTTTTCTTTCTTAGATCACCTGCTGCAGTTGTTGTGAAGATGGCCACACAACTCAGTACGAAATTACAGACTGTCTTGTTTTCTAGTAATCTTATCTATGTTGGATGGAGGGGCATTTCCGACTGTTGTTAGCCTCTCCCCAAGAGCAGAGAATGTATCAGGAAGGGTCTCTGAATTTCTGAACAGAGTCCAGCTCTGTGCTATATGCTCAAGAAGAATGTGTAGACTGGTCCACCAGATCCAATCGCATTTATTCCACTTGGTTCAGTTCAATTCAACTTTCCTGGCTACACGATAGATTTCAGGAGTTGAGTGATGGGAAAGGGAAAGGCCCTGGGAGGGCCAAGACTATGCACATTTTCAAGATGAAAAGGGCAGTTTTTACTGGATGGGCTTTAAGATGTACCCGACTGATGGACTGAAGCTGTACTTTTAAACCTTTCTATTTGCAAACAGAGATTCTGGGTGGCACACATTTTATACTCTTTCTAGCGACGTGGTTCGCTAAATTTATAAGGGACTTAGGACTGACATTAAGAACAAGAACTCCCATTTGGAAACCTGTTTTCTGTCATGTGAGCGCACAGCCCAGATTTCTTGCCACAGTTTCCACAAAGAAAGTTTTTGGTGGAAACACTCACCATTTAATTCCACAGCAGCATCTATCTGGCCATTAACTCCTGAAAATTCCTCTTCAGTATTCTTTGGGTAGTCTTTTTCCATTTTGCCTTTTCGTTCGTCATAGCTGGAAGAAGTGTTATTTCATGAATGATGTTAATAAGAGGTTCTTATCCATTGCAGGTGACACGGTGCTACTCCGGCATATTTAGCCAGGGCTGATTTGTGGCTTTACATGCACATGTGTGTGTCTGTTCCTCTCTGTGTCACACATATGTGCACACACACGCATGCACACACACACTCTATCGCTTCTCTTCCAAGTTCCTGGGATTCTAGGACCACTAATTTGGCAATCATTTGCTCCAAACAGTCTAAACAGATATATTCTTAGAATTATTCTTGGAATTATTAATTAATCATTAATTCTTAGAGTTATTCTATGTGTTATAGCAACATGTTCCTATAATTAAAAAAAAGACACGCTGCCTCTTGAAAGAAACTCTACATATATTTTTGGTGCTTTATTAACTGTTTCAATGATCCCCCGCCCCCCTCCACGCATGAATCTGTGGGCTTAGATTCTCGTCCAAGAATCAGTTGAAAGCCCTTCATGGGGACTTTTTAGTCATGGGCTTCTTGCTTCGCAGCCGTGGAGGAAGGATCAAACAAACAATGCAGAGCGAATAAACACAGATGTGAACAGTCAATAGATAGAGATCAGAAACAAGAAAATCTCGGATAACTGAGGCTCTGCTTTTAAATCACTTGAACTGAATTAAATCGCTTTTGTTTCCTGGAAAGATTATACGACTGACCGAATAGTAGATTAACTTTCTTTTTCTGGATCAGCAACCACCACGCAGTGATAACTCAGAAGACTGTTTAATACATCTCTTTGTGATCTGCGTTGCCCCTTGTGAAAGAGACTGACTCATATGAATCAGCGTGACTCGTACGGTTCGGCACGTAGGCAGTTAGGCAGACTTGGTCTCAAGTGTGAGAAAGTTCCTTCTTCGTCGGCACGGAGCCCCCCGTGGGCACATTCCCAGAGTGGACACCACCCGCCCCCTCCCGCCCCTGCCCCGAGAGGTCAGCCGGTTCCTGCTGGTGCCTGGAGTGTGGGGCAGTTTCCTGCCGCCACAGACGACAGCCACCTGCCCAGTGCGCCCGGCGGGTGGCTCTGAGTGCAGGCTGTGGGCTGGGGACAGACCTGTCTGGACACTGGGAGGGACCCCACACCAGGAAAGAAGTAGTCGGGCCAAAGTGACAAGTGGGTTGAGCTGCTTGGTGGAGTGGTGTGGACGGGAGTGGATGCCGAGTGTCCCCAACTCCCTTTTCGGGAGTCACTGCACACAGATAAAAGTGGGAAGCATTTACTGTGTCACCAGAAGTGTCGATACCGTGTGTGGGGACGGGGCACCTGGGTGTTGGGAGTGACTGCAATGTCTCAGGAGAGCAGTCAGGGCAAAGCTAGAGGAAAAAATAGGAACGGCCTAGGCACATTGGCTCCTACATTTCTTTTGTTCACTCCCTTCCAGGCTGTGAAAAATCTGCAGTCGTTCATTCAAAGTCCTTTGCTTATTAATCTTTGTTCACTAGGCTGTATCTTCTTGCTTCCCTGACATGGTTTTATGGAGGAAATGGAAGCTTTGAGGAAGAGAGATCTAAAGCCTAGAATACTTGGGGAGTAAGTGCAGAGGGAAGGGCGAGGGGAGGGTCTGCAGGCAGAGAGGGAGGTGGTGGGAGGGTGGTGCACCTGCCTTCCTCAAATTCTTTGTCTGAAGCCAGCCCCGTGCTCAGGGAGTGGTGGAAGGACTTTCGTGTCTGTATTCTCTTTCGCCTGCTCGGAATGGAGCCCTCGAGGCTGCACTTTGTACACCAGGCTGTGCCTCAGCTTTGTGCATGTTAACCAAACATTTAGGAGGGACCTTGAAAACATAATCGCCATTTATACTGTTTTGCGGCAAAATGTGTTCTCCATCCGAACGAGTGACTGATGAAAGAATGCCTGCAGGGAAACCACTTGCAAGTGGGGGTCTGCCTGTTACAGGCATTGCATGCTTCTTATTACAGTGGGTGGGTGGTATATTACAGTCAATGGGTGTTACATCACAGTGGATGGGTGTTATATTAAAGTGGATGGGTGTTATGTTACAGTGGGTGGGTGTTATATCACAGTGGATGGGGAGGGCTGGGAAAAGGACAGAGCAAATACCTGTTGTTCTTGAGAACAGAAAAACAGTTTAAAGGCAGGAATACCTTTTAAAGAGAGAATACTGATTATCAACCCAATAGGAAGATATGGAGGAAAGATCTTTCTCTTTTATCTGTCTGCTTATTCACAAAGAGGGGTGGCAGTAATACCTAAGATCTTATACATAACTCTTCAGAGGATAAAAGAGGTAATAACATACATAGAAGTGTTTCGGGAGAAACAGGAAGAGCATTACCATCAAACCACCGAAAAGAATTACCACTTATTTTCATGATCATTTCAGAAAGAAAAGAGACCTTAACACCAAAAAGGCAGAAAGGACATAATCTCAGCATAAAAGACGGTTCTTGCCAACAATGTGTCTTTATACTGACCTGGACTGTACCCCTACATTTATAAAGTTGTCCTGTTCCTATTTTGCTGTGGATTGGTGCAAAGTCTGTGATAATCTAGTCCTTGGCTTGTGGGCAGATTTTGAGGGTTTCTGCTACAGAGCAAAAAGCATACTGTGTACCATCAGATGGCTCTGGGTGTGAGCTGATTCTGTCACCTCCCGGCTCTAAGATCAGGGGAAAGAGCTCTGAGCTCTGGTTTTCTTATTTGGAAAAGAGTGGTCATGAGGATGAGAGACAATTTACACACACACACACACACGTTCCTGGCATATGGAGACACCAAGAACCATTAACGGACCTGCTAGCATGGGGTTGAGTAAACTTGGTGACTTGACCTGGGCCCTTAAGTCATCCAGGAGCTTAATCTTTACCTAATCTTCAAGCACACTTCATCCGGGTAACATTTTGCAGTAGAGGCAAGGGTGAGAAGAGGTGGAGAAAGGAGGACTACAGAATGTGGAGGTAGTCCAGAGAACGCAGCGGAGATGCGATTACGATTCAGAAGGTCTACTGTTACGTTTCGGATTCTGCTGAGGATAAAAGGAAGTTGTAAGACAGGATGAGAGCCACGGGTGTGCGTAGTTTGACGACGGAACATGAATGGGGAAAAGGTCACGAAGAATGACTGTGCGGAGGATGGCGAGGACCTCTGGGTTTGGACTCACAGGGCACGAAATCCAGCCTCAGATGGACCACTTTCTAGCGAGGTGGCCTGGAACTAATGATGTAAGCTCTCTGAGAGGCAATGTTTTAGCTGTTAAGTGGAGAGAGGAGCACCTACTTCTCAAGTTGTTGAGAAGACAGAGGGAAAATGAAAGAATATGAGGAAATACTCACCATGATTCCTAACACATAAGCCATCCAAAAACTAGCTGAATGAGAATGTTCAGGAAAGAAATGCATTTTTATTGTGCATCTGTCATGTACCAAGCACCTGCTAAAATCACTGCCCACAATGTCTTATCTTGTTTGTAAAACCTGAATACCAACTAAAAATGATTGACCCGTAACCATGTTTATTTCCTCTATGAGCTTCTGTTTCATCATTTAATATTGGTTAATGGAAATAGATATTAAAGAAATCACGACTGGCAGTTAAACTTTACTGGCGATATCATAGCGCTATAAATGTGAGGTGTTTTTTTTCAGATATGTTATCTTACTCTCCACCTTGGTAATCTAAGGGCTTGGGGGACTATTTTGGTAAAGTGCCAGCATGTGGTTTAACTTAATGCTTTGAATTTAGATCGGGTAGGAATTCTGGTGTGTCGATCATGATGATTTCTAGCATGTGCCAGTAGCAAAAACTGACCCCATTTTGCCTGCTTTGAAGCACTGAAAGAGAGCTGTGTCTGCTTAAGGAAAATGTGAGAAAGGAGGGCAAAATGGGTAATTTCGTGGTAAGGTATCTAAGTTCCATGTTTTTCAGGAAGTTTCTTCAAGGAGACCTTTCTAGTGAGATGAAAACCTGGAATCCCCTTTGAAGTTCATAATCTACTTCAAGCTAGGAATTAATGGCCTTTTGGGGAGGAAGGGCCTTGTGCAGAGTGTAGACCACTCTCTACAAGTGGTCTAGGAGGAGAGTGGTCAGGAGTGGGAAGAAGGGAGGAGACCATCCCACATCGGGGTTAGGAACCCTGCCTTTGAGGGAAAGGGCTGTAGGAAGATTTTGGAACAAAGACTCTGTAACAATGTGGAAAAATATTGATGGCCTCCATTTCCACCTGATTGTATGATGACATTTAAATTGGCATTGCCAGCCTGAATCCTCTGAGTTCAAAACCTGTATAGAGAACTGTCTTCTGGACATTTCCATTCTTGGGTTTCACCAAGATGCCAAACGCTGCATGTACGAAATGGAACTCCTGTTTATTCCTTTATTTCTGCTGTACTTAATTGTATTCTTTCCCCCACTGAATGGCCTTAGCATCTTTGCCAGAAATCAGCTGACCATATGGGTGTATTTCTGGACTGTCGATTTTATTCCATTGATCTCTACGTCTACCCTCATGTTCCTATCTCACTGTCTTGATTACTCTTGCTTTGTAGTTAAGTTTTGAAATTGGGAAGGCTGAGTCCTCCACTGTGTTCTTCTTTTTCAAGATATTTTGGTTTTCCTGGGTCCTGTGAGTTTCCATATGAATTTTAAGATCAGCTTGTCCATTTCTACAAAGGAATCCAGTGGTATTCTGATAGGGATCATGCGGAGTCCTGTAGATCAATTTGGGGAGTATTGTCATTTAAAAAATATTAAGGCCTCCAGTCCATGAACATGAGATATCTTTCCATTAAGGTCTTGTTTACTTTCTCTCAACAGTGTTTTGTAATTTTCAGGTTGTAAGTTTTCCACTTCTATTAAATTGATTTCTAGATATTATTTTTCTTTTTGGTGTTATTTAACTGGAATTGTTTTTTTTAACCTTCATTTTTGGATTATTTGTTGAAGTGTATAGAAATACAATTGATTTTTGCAAAATGAACTCACATTCTGCAAATATGCTGAACTTACTTATC